ACATCGGCAATCGATTTGGAGCCAAAGGCTTCTTCGGGTCCTACACCGCCCAAAAAAGTTGCCGACGCTGCTCGGTTCCAGTGCTTCCGAAACTTGCAGCCGTACTCCGCAACTGAATGCTGCTTCCGGACTGGAGCCTCCTTCCAACATTGGACTGAACCATCCTCAGCTGCTACCCCAAGATCCCGCTAGTCCTGGCAAACCGTCACAAGTCTTGCAGTCTCGCGACCCTCCATCTCCTCAAGCTTTTCACTGGAGATCAAAGCCGAAACCTGAACCCTAAGATCCTATGCCCTAAGACCCTAAACCCTGAGCCCTAAGCGAAGCCCTGCCTGCTATGGAAAGCTGCGGCTTTGTCCTGGTCCCTCTGCTCCACTCGACCACGCAAATGACCAGTGAAATGGGGAGGAAGACCGTGGCCTTCGGGCTTTGGAGCTTCTGCCTCTAGTCTCCCATGGATTTCCGTTTTAACTTTACTTTCTGAATCCTCTGCTCCACTCGACCACGCAAATGACCAGTGAAATGGGGAGGAAGACCGTGGCCTTCGGGCTTTGGAGCTTCTGCCTCTAGTCTCCCATGGATTTCCGTTTTAACTTTACTTTCTGAATCCTCTGCTCCACTCGACCACGCAAATGACCAGTGAAATGGGGAGGAAGACCGTGGCCTTCGGGCTTTGGAGCTTCTGCCTCTAGTCTCCCATGGATTTCCGTTTTAACTTTACTTTCTGAATCCTCTGCTCCACTCGACCACGCAAATGACCAGTGAAATGGGGAGGAAGACCGTGGCCTTCGGGCTTTGGAGCTTCTGCCTCTAGTCTCCCATGGATTTCCGTTTGAACTTTACTTTTTGAAAGCCTTGGGGGTGCATGGTGTTGATGGTTTGTGGGGTCTGAGAGGTTAGGGTTGAAGCTTGTGGCCTTCATGGTTTTCCTGTTCGTTGTGCTTGAAGCCTTGAGGGTTCTGGGGCCTCAGGGTTCTGGGCTTCAGGGTTTGGAGGGTTTCGGGGGTTAGGGTGGGTTCAGGAGGCAGGCTGCACCCTCCGTCTTTCAAGCTTGGAGGCATTGCAGTTGGATGATTTGGGAATCCCAAGCCCCAAGCTATCAATGTTAGTATACCGACAGAGGTTGAACAAGTTCAACTCAAGATGCTGAGCCTGACATGCATATGCGTAGACACATATTGTGTGTGTGTGTGTGTGTGTCTACGCGTCTTTGTGTCTCTGTCTGTCTGTCTGTCTGTCTGTCTGTCTGTCCGTTTGCCTGTACGTCCGTATGTATGTCTGTATGTAAGGGTATGTATGCATATGTACGACGGACTAGTTCGAAGCCCTGGCAGGCACCCCCCCACCCCCCCAAACCTGCACGATGACATAGACTTGGTCATGCAGGAAAAGGCGATGTAAGTCCTGCATGGACTCCAGGGCTTCGTGCTCAGTACCAAGGTTTTTTCTGCAAGGATCCAAAAGGAAGCTGCATCACATCCACAAAGTTCCCGAAGACCGGACACATTCAACTTCAAACACGCTGCTCCCGATACAATCTAGAGCCTTGTGCGACAGTTTCTTGTTTTAGCCCTCAGCCAAAAGTGGTTTGAATAACCAAAGGAAGATTGAAACCATCACACCCCTTAGCCCAAACCACGTTAACCTATAACCACTCCGAAACCGTCAGCACTACACCTTCAACACAAGCGCAAAACACATCAAACCAGTCAGCGCATGTAGTCAAACAAAAAACGAGCAAACTTATACGTCAGTAAATGTGTCTTCGGAGACAGAGATGGAGCAGCAGACATGATTCTGTTCATACTAAGCATGACAATCAGCCTCATCGTCTTATTCGCCTCTATCTTCACCTTCATCACGATGATCATCACCATCCGATCATCCCCGCTCAGCTGTGTCATGATGAAGCTCGAATCCGGTCCGAGAGCAACAGGCCCAGGACCATCGGTGCCGCGAGCTTCGGTGTGTGGCAAAGGGGTCCTTGCAAAGAAACTTGGCCAAGGAGCTTGGAGCGACTATTAGGCTAAACGATGGGTGCAGCATTGTACAGGAAATGTAAGCCCATGGAAGCAACCGTGAAACCTTACCATTCTGGCTAGTTCGTAGAAAAGCAACTACATAATAGCAACCACCACGAAGATAAACGACAAACACAACCATGCTCCGAACCTAGCCCTCTCTTCGGTGGACATATCGACTCCCAAAAGAAACTAGATGCTTCGAAAACGTCATGCTTCGGAAATGGGGATGAGCTCAAAGTCCCGCCCGCGGCGCCTGAGTTCAAAATCGTCAGAGGCGGAGAGCCTCTTGATCGAAGGGGACCCCTGCAAATGCAAAACTTCAAGAGCCTAGACAAGCTGCGAATCGCAAAGGAATGCACAAGGGTGGACATGTTCCATGCTGTCAGGGCTGCAGCTCCCAAACTACAAGACGCCCCACGTGTGCCGATGCGCGAAGGGTTGAGATGCGGCTACAACCGTTGACCCTAGGAGCTGTCATACTCCCTCCCCAATGATGCATAGCCATTTTGGGTTGCGGCTCTGCTGCTTACACACAGAGCGAATCATTTGTCTTCTCCTACATGTCTCTGCAAACGAACGGTAGCTTGGGTTTATGTTGAGACGCTACCTGGCAGAGGAGCTCCGAATCTCGTTGACCAAGCTAGGACTTTTGGATATCTTCGGGATGCGTCAGTTTTAGCATGGCTATATGAGTAATACGAGGGGACGCCATAACCATGTATTCGGACCCCGCATATCACCAAGTCGTAGAGCCAGGTTTAGAACTCAGACCAAATCCAGGACTAGTAGACCCTCTCCGCCATGTAAACAAGGGATTTGTTAATTTGGGGATATTCGGGGCCGTGGACTACACCGAGGTTTAGGAGTCAAGGTAAAAGCGTCGCAGTCCGTTGCAGTCCCGAAACTTCAAGAATAGCGCACATTCAGGGGGGGGGGTTCAATTTCGCTCTCCCAAAGCAAGCTGCTCCCAAGTGCACAAGTCTGGTGGCACAACTGGAACTTCGAGCTCATAACAAGGCTTTGGGGTTTAGGAACTAGGGTTTCAGGTTTGGGGCTCAGGGCTTAGAGTTGGTCTCTCGCACTGGTGCTCTCCAAATGCCAACAGACTCAACCGATCCTACTTGCAGTCTTGCAGACTGCCAGACGGCGCACTGATTTGCCATCAACATGCATACACACCTTTAAGCAACGAGCAATTCGAAGACTGAACCGATGCGGATGAACAAAGACTAAATCGATGCAAATGAATGCAATGAAAGACATGCAAATAGACAAATACATAACATGTGAAGTAAGTAATGTGCACGCACACACACACACATGTACACACGTGCATGAGTACATACATACATGCATGCATGTGTTTATACATAAATATATATAACTGTACATATATATATATATATACTTCTATACACACACACATACATACATACATACATACGCACATACGTACATACGTACATACGCACATACATACATACCTCGCGCACATACATACATACATACATACATTCATGTAGACAGCCAGACAGAGAGACAGACACAGACAGAGACAATCAGACACAGACAGAGACAGGCGGAGACAGACAGACAAAGACAGACAGACAAAGACAGACACAGGCAGACAGACAGACAGACGGACATGTACATGTACATATGTATATATATATATATATATGTATCTGTATATACATATACAAAGCTGCATGCATACACACATACACACATACACACATACATACATACATACATACATACATACATATGTATGTAAACACAGCATCTCACGTAAACCTTAAAACCCACGTGGGCACATGCAGTCCGTGTAGAATGCACAAAAGCACATACGCAGACATGCCGGTTGAGGACAAGCGCCGTCCAACTGCCCTCCTGCAAAGCAGGAGGCCCCGGCCCTACACAGAGCCAACGACGACTGAGCAACCCCCTCCGGCTCATTTTTGCCACTTGAGGCTTCATCTTCAAGAAATTAGGAGAAGGAATGAAACTGAAGAACCGCAACCCCACACAATGAACCAGAGATGGTCAAGTCCATCAATCCAAAAAGTTCGGTTTACTTTTCTCAAGTCGTTGGCTCTTCCTGCCCCTTGAATCCTACGATGCGGAACTTCTGTCCGGAGTTTAAAACTGCAACGGCCTCACGTAGGGGCTTGAACCAGTTGAGTAGGCCACCTACACTATAAACTTTCAACCGTATATTCGGTACTGTTCATAAACTCTAAACCCAAAATTTTCTTATTCTTAAACCCTAAACCCTAAATTTAACTGCCACCCTGAACTTTGAAGTCCTTGTCTTTCGGGCGATTCACTCAGGAAGGCATGGGAAAAGGCTCGACTCGCCGCCTCGCTGAGTTCTGGCTCGCCTCCACAAGAGATCTTGGAGGTCAGACGTTCCAGGGATTTGGGCTTTGGGGTTTAGGGTTTACGTAGGGTTTATAAATCCCCTTATATGAAGCCCAATAAGGTAGGGATATCCCTATAAAATGCTTATGCGTATGTGCTTTTTGGGTCCCTAAGTTTAGGGTTTGGGGTCTAGGGACGTGTCATTTTCACGTATGCCAGCCGCTCTGCATATATACCAGCGGCAAGTATGCATCCCAGCCAGCGCTGATGACGCAGATGACGGCGGCTGCAACGACACTCACTATTGAAAACAAGCTTTCAAACTATGTAAGCCTTTAAAACCTTCCCCCAACCAAAAATCCTGAGTCCCTCGACCCTAAATTCCCTACATCGAAAGCCTATCAACACACCCTAAACTAACACCGGGACCCAATTATGACTGCTGCAAAGCCTAAATAAATACCACAACTATTTTGCGGCTCCCTAATATCATTACAGCAGAAAGCTATACCGGGCTATACCCAAAGCCGTATTCTCACTACTGAGGCCCCTGCATTACCCTTGAAGCCTGATCCCACCCATCAAGACCGGCCCTTGCCTCGTGCTCTCGCGCTAGGCGTGCTTTGCTTCGTGCCAGGACGTTGCAATCTGGCACTGGCGATTTTGCGGGTTTAGGGCGCATCTTTGCGCCTCTCTAGGCGAAAATGGTAAAAGCGGCTTTTGTTACGGCTATGTGGCTAAGGGCTTGGGGCTTTCAAATTGTACGATTGGGTTTCTGCAGCATTCGGAGAGAGTGCGTGGTCCTTTTGTAGGGAGCTCGGGCATGTGCATCCGGCACAAGGTGCGTCAACCCTGAACCCGATCCATGGACTGACTGATGCTCACACTCACGGATTAAAGTCCCAATTTCAATTAAGGTCTGACCGACTCGCTCAAGATTCGATGCTACTGGCCCTTTTGTTCTTCACACCATCCTGTGTACTTTGGCAAAGAAGCACGTTGCAGCTCTGTGTGTGTGTGATCCTGTGTGATTGTGTCACAAACGTTCACAGCTTCGCTCTTTGTCTCACTACTGAAAGATGTAATGCAACTAAAGAAAACAGCAACGGCCTTCGCATCCACCACGAGCGGGACAAGGAACCTGATTGGGTTGAAGGATCGGGTTTGTTGAATGGCGGAAGGCAACTAATTATACACACGATGAGATCACAAGCCAAATGCAACGCACAAGATGCAGTCAACTTCACATTAACCAGGCAAGCTGCAAACACAGCGGCATTATGCTCAGATGCTGGCAAAATCAAACAACAGAAGCAATGGTGCCAGGTCGATTGCCGAACAAGCATTTGCAGTACTAGATAGTGCGGCCAAAAACACGGTAACCATGGTAATTTCTATTTCATGAAAATAGCAGCCAGGTCGGCATCACCGACAACACCAAAACTGTCGTCAGCATTGCCATCAACATCATCGTCGTCACTTCGTCACCAACATCATCATCTTCATCATCATCATCATCATCATCACCATGATCTCAATCATCATCGTCATCACCATCACCATACTCGTCATCCGAATCCTCATCCTAATCCTTATCCTCCTCATCATTGTCACGGCCGTACTCCTGAGCATCATTCTGAACCTGCATGTGTGGCGTAGAAACTTGGAGCTTCCAACACACGTACACACCACACATGCCTAACTTGACAGATGAAGATCATGTCGCCCTGAATGCGCCGGACGGTATATATAGGCTTCAGCACTTTACATTTCTGCGCACTGCGTTTTGGACCCCAAATCGGGAAGGAGCAGGAAATGACAGGAACCAGAGGCAAAGAGTGGCGTCGCTGCAGCCGAGGCACTGGTAGTCGTCCAGGAAAGGGTCTTCCATTACCCGCCTTGGAGCTCAAACTGCCGAGTCGAGGGACTTGTTTCGGGATTCAAAAAACATCACCAGGTATGCTCAGATGGCCCTGATCTAGCGGGGAAGGGCTGCAACCAACGCAAAAGGGTAGGACTCGGGATTCTGGGTCAAATTAAACCAACCCGACTGAACAAGTCTAAAAAAATGAAGCCATGTCACTTCAAGTGCAACAAATCCAAAACCAGCCTGCACGTCTGCAAGCTTCGCCTGTGTCGTAAAAGGTACGCCAGTTCAACTGATCCTACAGGGCCTTCAAACCCTAACCCCCTAATTCTAAACCCTAAACCGCTTTTCTCCTAAACCCTAAACCTCTCCCTTGCAATCGAGCGCTGGGCCTGACAGCCTCCAGGGCTTCTTCGGCTTTTTCCTCTCCACGGACGTCGGGTTTAGGGTTAACCCGTAGGATTAACTTTGGATTATTAGCCCATTTAAGTGGTCGCACACATCGTACAGATGTATCATGCTATTGCTACTGTAGTAGTAATGGCAGTAGTAGTAGTAGTAGTAGTAGTAGTAGTAGTAGTAGTAGTAGTAGTAGTAGTAGTAGTAGTAGTAGTAGTAGTGGTAGTAGTAGTAGTAGTCGTAGCAGCAGTAGTAGTAGTAGTAGTAGTAGTAGTAGTAGTAGTAGTAGTAGAGGTAGTAGAGGTAGTAGAGGTAGTAGAGGTAGTAGAGTAGTAGAGTAGTAGAGTAGTAGAGTAGTAGAGTAGTAGAGTAGTAGAGTAGTAGAGTAGTAGTAGTAGTCGTAGTAGTAGTAGTAGTAGTAGTCGTCGTCGTCGTAGTCATCGTCGTCATAGTGGAAGTAGTTGTGGTAGTAGCAGTAGTAGGAGGAGGAAAACGATTTCTTCAAATAACACTGTTACATACACTACAATACCAACAAATACAATGAAGCACAACAAACACAGTACTAAGATAACGAATGACCAGACTAGGAAAGTCCATATGAGGCAGGCGTGCAAACAAGAAAGTGCATCGCCGATGTAGAACCCTGCCGCGAGGCAAAATATCCGCGGGCGAATGCGCTCTAGCATGTCGGATCCCAACGCTTCGTCACATCACATGTCTACTGCTAACAAGAAGCAGCAAGATTGTCAACTGAACCAGCAGCAACGTAATGATTTTTATGGATAAGCAGTTGCAGCTGAATCCGTCTTACGGGTATGGCAAAATGGCCTCCGAATATCAACGGCTGCCCTGCCCACGCCCAAAAACTTTACAAAGCAACCCAACCTAAAGTTCAAAGCTTCAGGCCCAAAGCCACGCGAGCCCTGAACTCAAACAGCCTTGGAACTTATGAGTGCTTGCCTTTGACCCAAAACCCCGCACGGCCCTCAAGCAGCTTATAGATGCCCTGGATCTAGAACCTGAGCCCAAGCCTGAGAGAACACAAACCCTCAACGAAGACAAGCCCAATGCTCCGAAAACCCGAGCCCCTTCCCCTTCAACAAAAGTGGGAAAGAACAGACCAGCAGGAGAGCTTGTCTGTTGCATGCGCGGGAGAAGAGGATCTGACAATGAGAGTGGTAAGAGTCCGAGAAACATCCATACTCGGAAGTGCGCGTATATTTGAAGATTATATAGGGGCCTTAATAATTGCAATAGGGTTCCTTTAAATGGGGTCTACAAGTGCTACTATAAGGGCCATTATAAGGACTTAGAATATCCTTCCATTCGGTCCTCGGGCCCCTCGAACAGCAGCTCATCGTGGACCTGAAGTGAGCACGAGGGTAAAAAAGGGGCCTTCACAAATCAGAATAGGTTTTGGGGTATATGATACTGTAATCATAGTAAGGAACCCCCAAAATAGGTCATTATTAAGGCCCCTATAATATATCCCGCAGCCCGGATGACTGCGGAGCATGTTCGAACCGCAGGCATGGGCTGTTGCCGAATCTGAGCCTGCCGCAGGCATTTGCGGCTGATGCTTCATATCACCGAATACCATTCGTTCAACATTAAGATGTCGAAATTACTATGTTATCTATGTGCCGCCATCAGTTTACAGGAGTGGCAAACAAGCTCATCCTGCACACACACTTCAGTTCTATCGATGGGACAACCGTCGAAGAAGTTGCAAGTGGACCTGCAGCACCATGTGGTAGCCCAACTCTTTGAGGACCTCGTCTCTGGCAGCCTTGCGGCTTCTGACCGGAGAAGAGCAGGAGCACCCGAAACATCGGATTCGTAACCTTTCGTCTCTTTACCTTTCCAGATGCAATGACTGCAGCCCAGTATACCTTAGGACAGGAGTCGAGTACAGCCTATCGCCAAACACCCAAAGCTTTCCGGACGTTCACCTGGCAATGCTATCCGTGATGGACACACAACCTGCCTTGGCTGATGTACACTAAACTTGGGGGCCTTTGCTATTGCATATTCCTTATTGCGGACACTGTAGAATTCTGTAGGATTGCGTGCGTCGCCAGCAGCGCGACTCTACCGCTTCTGCTTCTCTGGCGTCGATCGTGTTGATGCTTTATAGAAGCCGTGTTGAGGCTCGGAGAGCCTTCACCATCGCCTCCGCGACGACATCTGCCGAACCGCCCTGAACCTCGCAAGACTCAATCACAAACACATCAAAGTCTATGTATCTGTCTATGATCATATCATCTTGGAGACCGGCTGACACTTTGATTTTTTACAAATGCTTACCTGCCCTGCCTCCCTCACACTTTACCTGTTTATCTTCCATCCATAACATTGTCTCGGGCTCCCTCCCTCCCTCCCTCCCATGCTCTATATGTTTGTGACTGTCTATGTATGCACTTGCATATACATATATACATATGCACATATACATATACACGTATATACGTATACATGTACATACATGTATGTGCGCAGATATACATATGTGCTTAAATCTCTTTTTACGTAGATATCAAGACATGAATATCTCTAAGCATGTCTGCAAATATCATATTTGCATGCGTATATATGTAAGCATCATATTTGCATGTGTATTATCTGCAAACATCAGACTTGCATGCGTATATGTGCATAAATGACAACAGAATAAGTGCGTTCCTCTAATGTATACAGATAGGTAGATAGATAGCTAGATAGATATACATGACACCTCCGGCAGCCCCAAACTGTCGTCACCAAACCACCTCAATGCTGATGCCTTCTACTTCAATGAATCAAGAGCAAATTCTGAAAGCCTTTGTCGAGTCGCTTGCGCCGTTTTCTCAAGTTCTCATGCTTGCCTAGTTCTTGTGCCTCAATCGAGCTGTTCTCCTGCTTCACACCTTCTTTAGTCCCTTGCGATGGGTTTGAGAAGCAAGAGCTATCTGCTCGCAAGAGTTCGACAAAAAGGAGAAGTTATGAATCAGGAGCAAACTGTCCCAAACGAAGGCCGACAGAGGGAGACAAGCGTCGAAATTTCGGCATGGGCCGGCGAAGGAAGACCCGGGCACTCGAACTAAGCATTCCTTGCAGAGAACTCCTACTGTACAGTAAAATATTTGGCGAGCTATCCATCTTTGTATCGTCTTTCTATCCGTCTATCTGTACGATCCTCTGTCTATCCATCTACCCATGTTATTGTTATCGATCGATCTAGCTGCTGCATGTCTGTCTACATATCTCGATGTCAAACTGCAGTAAGTCTGTCAGGTCTGTTCTCCTTCTGCTTCTTAGGACTAGTTTCTAGTATGGTTCATAAACTCATAATGGTCTGGTTCCTGATTTCTACTTCTTACTAAGAATACCGATACAATACTATGAAGATTCAGTTCCTCATTTACCGCTGCCATACTACTCTAAGCAAACACTACCCGCCCCCCCTTCTGAAACCCAAACCGTAGTAAATGCGACCATAAGTAGACCCCTGGCACATATCTTGAAACACCCTTTACCCCAAACCCTTTGAGCTCTCTGCCCCAAATAGCCCTAAACCCTAAGTAAATCCTAAACCCTTTAAGCCCTATAGATCCAAAACCCTGCTGTCTGTCCGTCCGTCTATGTCTATGTATCTGTTTCTATCCGAACAGTAAGCTATCTATCTATCGATCTGTCTATTGGTCTATCAATCGACCGATTTGCTGTCTCTCGGACTTATGTTGTATGACGTATGTATGTTGGCTTCCTTTGTATTCGTGACTGATGCCCGATGACGGCTGTAAACATGCACGAATGTCAAAAGGTCGCTGCCATTTCGGCGGTTCTCAAGAGCGCTGCAGCCTAATTAATCCCTAAACCCTAAAGCCCTCGGGCGAGAGTTCGTGCGCTGAGCGTGTGTGCTCGCGCAACTGGGTGCTTCGAAGTGGTACAGACAACCGCTGTCAAAATGACGAAGCGAAACGTAAGCATGATTGATTTGAGCCCTGGTGAACGGAACTCAGGAAACCCAAAGCCAGAAACAGGCTATCTTGGAGGACCTAAATGTGTGATGGATATTTGGGGGCGAGAGAGAGAGAGCAACAACACAAATCAAATCAATGGAAAAGCCAGTTTCCTTGCCTTTTCAAACTTTATTGTGTGCTTCTGTTCCTCTTCCAAAAGCTTGGGTTTCTATATGTTGGTCAGTCATACCATGATTCTAGGTGAGAAGGTAACAAGATATGAACGCAAACAACCGGTTCCGTTCTTCTTTTGTGCAACTGAATAACACAGACATGCGCGAACATGCAGCTGCAGCAGAAGATGAACAAAACAAATAATCAGCACTTGCAATTTTCAGTTCTAACAAGGAACAAAAGATAAGATAGTGTAGGAACCACGCAACTGCTCTCACGGTTTCGCTCTTACTTTCAACTGGCCCTCTTGTTCAACTCATGTTCTAACGTATGATAGATTTAGCAAAGAAGGCCAACGGAAAATGCTCCCTTGTGATCTGATGCTTGTTGTCCTTCGTCTCCGTTCCTTTAGTGTTTCATTGGCATGTTGTGCATGTGCCCTGAGCGAGAGGTAGCAAGGGCGCCCCCGCAAGGCAGACGAGACTGGGATTCTGAGTCCGCGTCGGGCGCATTGATTGCTTGCCGCTTGGCAGAAAGGTATTCCCAGAACCTCGGCGGCACCGGATGTCGGGCCCTCCTCGAGCTATAGGGGTCCCCCTTTACGGGTTCCTGGTTTCATGGTCCTGCTCTGACTTCTTCGATCTGTTTATTATATGTTATGGAAACTCAATCGGGAAGCAAGTGCCCACAGTAGATACTCTATGGACACATGCTCCAAAGATAGGCATGCAAAAGGTTGGATCGGCACAAAAAAAACAAAGAGACAGAAGACAAGCTTGCGCTCAGGCTACTTACAAACCCTGCAGCATAGTGAAACACGAAACTGTGGATATACGGCCGACCTCACTGCAAAAGTTGCGAATCAGTAATCAATTAGTAGACGGTTGTCATGGCCATCAGAACTATGATCGAGATGCCGATGGTGATACAGTGAGGGCGACGTTGTTCCTTGTGAGTCCACCTGCTGGTCCTCCTACTCTCGTCAACCCAACTATGGGCGGCATACAACTACACAACGATTGTTGCGATGATTGATAACGCACTTCGAGCCCTTTCAACCAGAAACGAGATCCTAAACTAATGAGCCCATCTCGACTCTCATGAACAAAAGACCAGCTCGAATAGATGACCATAGATAACCCATCAGACGATGAGAGACTAACGGCGAGCCCTTCGAACAATAACAACAGCAAAGCTCTCAGTCACTGGCGCTTTGTCTTTGGAATACCTGGACTGGCTTGGTCCAGGGCAACGAGAGGCAGGCCAGGCAAACGCGAGCTTGAGGCAGTTACAATATTCTTCGTACCAACCGATGCGCCCGGCGATGCCGATTAATTACATGTTACAAGACATGGAACGGGGATGTATAGATTTATCTCAGTTCGAAGTTAAAGTACGCCTAAGAGTTCTCTTAGAGATGATGTCCTCAAAGTCTGTGCTTCCTCCTTCCCTTGAAACTGAACCGTCGTTTTTTGACCCCTGTATGACTCGCAGTACACAGTCCGCACTGGCCGTGGGCAGGTCCTGCGGGGGCCGTAAGGGCGCAAAAAACAACAAAACCGCTGACATTGGGCAGGATATACCGTACATTTACTCTTGAGCGGATGACGGGACAGTCTTGCCGATTAATTACTCAGAGCTTTTCTGTATAAGTCTTGACATCCGCAGTTTGTGGAAATAACAGTCATGAGCAACAGTTTAAGAGGGACCTCCTCCTGAAGATCTCTCTTATCTGTACTTCAGCTCAAGTGTTGTGTTTAGCAGTGCTTTAAACAAGTGCCATACAGGGCCTGTGGGTTTCAGCTCTCTTATAACCCGAAAGCCCGAAACCCCAAGAGATTGACTGTGGCCCGGGCATGGGACGCTTCGAGTTCGCAAGTAGCGGCCTCCCGTTGTCGCCCGGCTTGCTATAGGGGGCTTTTAGGAAATTACCTATACTGTTTCGATGGTTCCTTACTATGATTAACGTATAATGTAGACCCAGACCTTGCTTCTTCTATGGCTCCCAGCTCCTTTCGGGTTCGCAGGTTCTCACAGAGGCGGGAAGGCAATGTAAGCGACGAAATAACTACCAATACCCTTTTTTTGGGGGGGGGAAGGACCCCTTATTATTACCCTATTCTGATTATTAAGGCCCCTATGCGTCGCTACGACTCCGGCTGCCTGACGACTTGGAGAAATTGCGGCCCGAGGTTTGGCAACGGAGTGGCACAAAACCCCACGGCTCCTCTGAGTGCTCCTCCCCGACATCAATGCAGGGTCGTAAGATGCACGTTTTTCATAGGGCTCCTGATTAATTATGGCCTCCGTTTATGTTGCATTGCAAGAGAGAGCTGTTTTTGCATCGGCGACGCGTGAGGCCCTTGTATTCGAGAAGGAAAATCTCAGAAGGACCGCAGAACCACCACCCGTACAGTGCTTATATAAAGGTAAGGTTTGCAGCGTTGCAGACAAGATGTGAGTCGAGCAACCAAACAATGATGTCAACGTAGAAAGCTGCAACTTCCTCATCCCGCTGCGTTGGAAATCGGTTTCAGCAGCAGGGGTCTGCAGCAATATCAGAGATTCAACGCTAGAATAAGGCGCTTGGGTAGTTCGTAAGGAACCCTAAGGAATCCTTTGCGACCTCCACAGTAGCTCTATACTAAGCTCTCCTGCGAACGAAGCCGCACGAGCCCTACACTGCGAACTCCAGCGCCGCTCGGGAGGCACAAGTAGAAAAGCTTCGAAGCAAGCAAATGTAAGAGAACGGAGTGGGGTGCTACAGCAAACCAGCGGTGATAAATTAAGTTTACGTGCTTGAAAAGTTATAGCGTTGCCTTGGGCAGCTTGAACTTAAACTTCGGGTTTCATGCATGCAGTGGAACGCCCAAAAGGACTCGAAGGTTACCCGCTGGGCACCTAATGGATGTTGAAAGATGCTTGGGCCCCCTAGATCCTGAACCGCAACCCCAAGCCCAAAGTCTCCAAACAGGCCCCAAACCGAAAGCAACCCTAAAACCAAGTAGAGAAGAAGATCAAAGCCTCAGCACCAACTCGTGGCCGATCCTGCGGAAGCTTTTCGGACTCCACCGCAGCGGTTTCTACTGTTCGACCGGGTTTGGGGCTATAATGGTTATTGAAGTTGAGAAGGGACTCTAGGCCTGCGAATTTGAGATGCAGGGTTCAGAATTAGGAGCTTTATGGTTTTACAGTCTAGGCTGGAGTCTTGTTCAGGTCATGGACTTCGAGTTTGTATACTAATTCAAGAAGATTGGGGCCTCCCAAAAATGCAGAACAGCACCAAAAGTCTCCATGGTAGTTCCTTTTTTCGGTTACCTTATAGGTTTCTAAACGAATAGTTGGTTAAACGAGAACAGAAACTACAATGAAGACAACAGGTACGGACCTGAAGCAGAAACCTCGGAGCAGTCCCATGTTGGTACTGATCGCTGTTGAACATTGTTGAACCATGGAATACTTGCTTGAGCTTGACCCTCTGTCTGAGCAAAAAAACAGGACGACTCCAGCGTTGAGCCCTTTGAACCTTTGACCGGGCGAACTGGAACTCAGCAGCTAAACCCTAAACCCCAAACCCTAAACTTGAAGTGCTGTCAGAAACCGTGGCCCTCGGCAAGCTGGGCCCCTGAGCGTAGAGGGCCCCAACCCTCGAACCCCCTCAAAGCTAACCGTTAATTAAAGGGCTTATCTATCCTAGTAAAAAAGAGCCTTAAGCATGTCCATTCGCTTCCGGATCCCGTCGGAAACAAAGCAACAGCCAGAACGCGATGCCTTGAGGGTCGAGAGCTTTAGGCTTGTAGGATTTTAGGATTTAGGGTCTAAGGTTGTATGGCTTAGGGCATTAAGGTTGGTTGGTTTTAGTTATTCTTTAGAGTTTGGGCTTGATCTGCAAGGCGCCTCGGACGCCTGATCAAGCCGACGATATGCCTCACAGCGTGTTGCAGAGCTGTTGGGGCCTTGGAGCCTCTAACTGAGCAGGAATGCTGACACTTAGACTTGGAGTGTGCGGATGATGGCGACATTCCCAGTCCTCTTCAAGACACATGGATACGTGGAGCGCTGATACTCGTAATGTCAAGACCACAGCCAAGCAGCACGAAGATCGTGCTTCAAAGATATCCCCCCGCTGTGGTTCCCGTGTTCGCAGAGAGAGACGCCCTTTTCAAACCCAAGCCTGCCAAGGGCCTAGCTCCTCAAGCGACCAACCAGGCACCCACAGCCTTCGAAGAAATGAACACACAAACACTAGATCGCTAAATCCTCAGCGCCTTTAGAAGCCCCCGACAACAACACTCATACCTTTCAACACCTCGACCCTGTAACCCCTACGCCGCCCTAAGGGCACCCCCCTGCCCCCCATGCCTTGGCCGACCTCGGTAGGTGTGGACTCGGAGAATCGATCGCTCGGCCTCTTCGATGACCTGGCCTCAGGCTCTAAACTGTGAGGATTTCGCAGCAGCCAGGAGATTCTAAACCGACCAACCCTAACCCCCCCAACAACAACTTCCTGAAAAGATAACTCCTGTGTACCTAGTGTTTTTAGGTGTTCAATGTTGCCCGAAAGCCTAAGCGCTGACCAGGTTCTAAAAGCTTTCACATCTTTTTGCAGGGTCTCATAGGGCGTAAGGTCTTCATGGATATTCACTGGTTTCAAAAGAAGGAACGATGCTGCGGCACGTAGAGATGCGCACAGAAAGACCAACTGAAAGAAACGTTTGAGGTGTGACGACAAGTCATCTTCACCGGCACCCTGCAATGGAGCCTGTCACATCTTGTGCTAATGCCCACCAGCCTCCCAAGTGGCTTGCAGCTCCTTGTGCCCTCTGTCACTGGAGCTTACGGTCGTGGATACCCGCGAGGTTTTGAAGATGTAAAGGTTATTGTAGGTTTCCGACTACTTAGCTACTGCACATGCCTAAGCAAAATCAACTAAAATGCTCTTCCCACAAATTGCCGCTGGGGGTTTGCACTGGCACCACGCAGCACCCGTTCACTAGTCAGAGCCCAGTCGCTCTGCCATTCCTTCACCTGCACAACGGCAAGCGCCGCTACAACGAATGCAGAAGCCGCAGTGTCAAAGTCCTATATAGTGTCCTAGTGCATCTGCTATCTCGTGAGCCTCGAACCGGCTGCGCCAAAACGCCCCAATAGGCTTGGAGGGTCGCACCGCTTGAGCATTTACTGCTAGCGCACTTAGCAGCCCCAAACGCTCCAATGGTGACAACCATGGCAACACCATGGTGCTAACAAAGAGGAGCGTGTTGATAACATGGCAGTGCATATCAGCGACCGTCAGCGAATCCAGTGTGCTAACACTTTCGGTTCTGTCTGCTCGCTTTCTCAGGGCTCCGATCTGCCCAGGAGCCACAACAAAGGATTGGCCCATTCTTACCAGAACGACTTTCTGATCTGATTCTAAATGAGAAGAAGCATAACAACCGTTTAATTCAAAAAAATCTGCTGTGCAACTGCTTGGAGAGTTAACCGTGCAACTCCTGAGTATGGATCACCTCCTGACCTGCGTTCACAAGCTGGCCTTCGGGTAAGCTTCGTACCACTTGTCGATCATGTCTTGTGCCTCTTCGACAGGTTATAGGGCTCAGGCATGTATGGGCTTGGCGTGCATAGTTCACCTGAAAGCTTGGCACCTCTGACAAACGGAGCCGAAGGATGCCTCTGATGGGAGGCCAAGAGGGGGGCTTAAGATTCTTGGGGTAGGGATTCCTTAATAGGAACCCTATTATGGGAACCCTAATCCCTACTAAACCCCTATGAGCCTCCCCTGTCCTTGCAATGGAAAGACCTACCTTTGGTTAGTAGGGAATGGAAGAATGGTAGTAATAGTAGTTATATGGTAGTAATATGGTAATAAAACGGTAGTAATATAGTAGTACTAGTAAGTATGGTTGCACCCCATCCCTCCATTCCCTACTAACCAAAGGTAAGAAGACAGTTCATCCCGGCCTCGGGCTCCGCGCAACTCCTTGGACACTCGCGTCGTAGGTACAGCGCGACAAGGGGCATAGTAGGGGTACCTTATTTTGGGCTCCTTATGAAATGGATCCTACTATTTAGGGTGAGTAATTGTGTTCCCCAAGCACTGTGGTGACACTATAGGGGGGTTCTTGCGTTCAACCTAAAGAGAGTGTTGATTGCGGTCCGCGCACAGCATTCCTGGAAATCGAGCTATCCGCGTCCTATTACACAAAAATGCGAATCTAGTCTGTGAGTCCTAATTACCATAGTTTTTGCTCACGTCCTGTACTATTTACACAAGATCGCTGCGGCCGTGCGCCATGCCGAACCCGATGCCCGTAAACAATACTGCAAGGCACATTTTGGGGGATCTCCGACGCAGTTGATTGTATTATGGGTGTCGCTTGTTTGTGTACGTATGTGTGTAAATCTTTTTTCTACACAGCCTATATGTGCACGTATGTATGTATGATTATGTAAACATATGTGTTTTATGTACACCTGCTATCTGCCTCGCCTCATCATCATCCCTTTGTCCTGAATAACCAGGCCGTTTGAATCTGCGGGCGTGTGGGAACCGTGTCAGAAATACGGTCGTGCTAGTTTTGGTGGATGGAGGCCGGCTTTGCTTTGTTGGGGGGCGGGGGGCAGCAACGTTGCGGTTGAGAGTAGCTCGGTGTTTTTGTGGGCTGAGGGTTTCAAGGGAAGACCGTTCCTAGAGATGCTCCAGCCTTCAATATTCGAGAATGCAGTGAAGAAGAAGGGAGCAGAGCAATAATGGGGTCGGAAAGGTTGCAGGTGTATTCCAGGTATATATGATGTCACTAAGAGGTGTTCATTCACAGTGAATACCTGTCTGAGCTTGGCCGTCAGAATGAACACAAGACCTGCAAAGTGAAAAGAGGTAGTCTCAGAGGTCAGCCAAGAACTCTAGAAAGTGCGAGAACGCCAACGAATCATTGCAGCATGTCGGTCGAGTTTGAAAAGCCATCATACAGAAGCATCGTATAACTCAGCAGCTCCGGAATCGAGACAACTCTCGAGCTCGTGCAAGAGTGCAGCTTTGCCGGGCCAAGCAAGCACGAACAGAACCGGTGCACTCCAAGGCTTGGCATGGCTCATGGTTTGGGAATCCTAAGTCAGCCTGACTTCCTGGAAGCAGAACACTTCGGATTTCCCAGCCTGAATCCCCTAAAGTCCCAATACATACATGTACTTCACCGGTGAACACAGCCCAAGGTTCAGCTGCTTCGCCAGGCCGTATGAAGTGAGGCCATAGGCGATGCCAAAGTTGACGGCCTCGCACTTGCAAGGGCCGGAGAGTCTAAGTCTATCTATCATTCAACCTATCTGCCTATCTACCTATATAAGTATATATATATATATATATGTACCTGCACATACATGCATACATACATCCATCCATGCATGCATACATAGACATAGGTACATACATACATACAAACATAAATACGTAAACACATGTATACATACATAGGTACTATATCTATATATATATATATATATCTCTCTCTCTCTCTCTCTCTCTCGCTCTCCGTCTCTGTCTGCGTTTCTCTCTCTCTCTCTCTCTCTGTCTGTATTTCTCTCTGTCTGTCTCTCTCGCTTCTTCAGTCTTCTCCTTCTAATATCTCATAGGAAGTGTGCTAAGCTCCCCGACCATCGGGCACCCCCGCCCTGTGTTTAGGTCTTTGCAGGGAGTGACAGCACTGCTGCAGAAACCTCAAGGGTGGATACGATGTATCTACCTGTATAAGATATGTACATAGGGACACGTGACGTATTCTTCTATACACATACACCTACACGTATAGATACTAGTATGATACTAGTAGAAAGTACCATTGTGGCATTCGACCGCGAAAGATGGTCCTTGTTCTGACTTTGGTGAGCTCAGTTCCAGGCGGAGAAAGCATTTTCGTTTCTGTCTCTAGAATACCCAGAGGAGTCCATGCATACTAACACTGTGGAACTAGGTTCCCAAAACCATAATAGTGATGGTCTGTTGAGACCAAATTCCATAATGGTAGTATATATGGACCCTATAGGGATACAACCCTAGATCCTAAAACTTTTGGTCGAGGGATCCGCAGGACTTTTGGTCGTGTGAGGCGCCCGGGATGAGGGTATTTATGGTTTAGGCCCAGGCCATGAACTGACCAGGGTTCTACAGAGCAGGGGGTCCTGGGCAATTTGTTTACGGATTCAGGGTGTATTATAACATACACATAATTGACAGAATGCTGAGGAAGCCCCCACCCTAAGTAATCCGGGACATGAATAAACATAGGTTGTTGTAAGCAACAAAAGACCAAATACCAACAACGACAGACTGCAACATAGTAAATACAAGCGGCGACGACAACAGACCAAAGACATCATGCACAAGTCAACAACTGACACAAGACAAACACAACAATTCTACAATACAAGCGAACACATACATGAGACGACTACAACAAAACACACATAAGGCACCAGACAACAAACAGCAGACAAAGACAAAATGCAAAATACGAGAGACCGCCGCTTTTAGTTCGCCAAAAAGGAGGCTCCGAAGATTCTGAAGTTCGCTGATGCTCTGAAGCTCCTGCAGGCTCGAGCTTCAGAGCTTCAGGAAGAAACTTCCTGAAATACATAGTGCGAACCAAAGTACATACGTCGAAAGACGGAAAGCATGAGACAGTTTGTTCAAAAAGACAAAAGACGAACTTCATAGGACAGAAGACGAAGGACGAGAATGAGCAGCCCCAGCCTTGGCGCTACGGCGCTCCGATGGGTACACGTCCTATACCCGAGTGTCTCTTTTTGCAGGGGCTTCGGGTTAAAGGGAGGGTCTTGTCGAGAGTCGGGGGTTGGGGCTCAAGGACGTGCCTCGGGGTTTCTGGTGTGACTTCGAGATACTTGCCGCATATGCTGGTTGGAGAACACAGCGTGCATGTAGGCATTTGGTTGAGGATTGCAAGGGGAGTTTAGGCAACCTGTCGCCGGCGGCTACCAAGCCCCGAAGCACGAGTCAAAGAAGTCCCACAAAATCTTCGCCACGACGCTCCAAACTAGTAGTATGAGGATTCTTCTTCTTCTGACTATATTATATGATAACAAGCAATCTTATGATTACTACTTGTACTCTTGAATTATTGAACATACTGTTATCCTTCGTTTTCACAAATTTCATCATTGTTTTTCTCGGGTCCTTGACGAGGCGCTGGGTGTGGTCGCCCTCGGCGTTTTGCACTTCTGGCTTCTCGCCCTCAAGCCTTCATCCCTTAAACGGGAGACTTACTGTAGGGGCTTTAATAATTAGACTATGGTTTTGGGGTATGTTAGACTATAAGAAAAGTAAGGAGCCCCCAGTAGGTACTTTACTAAAGCCTCTTTTTTCTAGGCCTGGGTGGGGAAGTTGAACCGGGGTTCAGCGTGGTCGGCAGCTTCGAGACTTCCACGAGCTTCCCCTTCCTGTTGACTACTGCTCTCATTGGGGCTTCGTGCGGCTGGGTCTCGGTGCCACACCTGCCACCTGCCCTACTAGCCACGGAATTGCGCACCCAAGTGCACAGCAACAAAACAACTTCTTGACATCTGAAATGGCCCGCGCCTCCAGAGACACCTCACCCTTGTCTATGGCATCTTGGATGTGAGGATACCTGGGATCGGATATATGGCACAACCGCTACAGTCAGTCGAGCAGCCAGGCAGACACCAGGGAAACAGTGCCGTCCAGAAGTCGAACTTCTTTGCTTGTTTCGGATGGTCACAGGCCAGCAGCCCTTGTTTCAGACAGTTGGAAGCGACTTCGCAGATCTTGATGAGTGCACCCCAATAGCCATTCTCCCGTATTCCTATAAGGAGTCCCACAAACACCACAAGCCCTCATACGAACCCTGACCTACCTCACACAACCCCGAAACCCCTTTGTAGATTCCCTGAACGAACCCTCAGGAGAGTCCCAGTCGAAGCCCTCATCCTCGATCTATAATACGAATATTAACAGTAGTAGCAACATTAAGAGACCGAATAATGAACAAAAAACACAAACAATAATGCCGGTAATAACAATAATTGTGCATTCAGCCTCAAAGTCTCAAAAGCTTGGGCAAGGCTGAGCCACATCTGTGCCGCTGTGTGGGAATGGAGGTCAATTCCTGCCCGGAGCGTCGTATGGGCGTGTCGGGGACTTTGGCGCGTGGGAGGGCTAGCGTATCCATGGATGTTTAGGGTCCAGGACTTAGGGCTTCAGGGTTTAAGGGCTTTGGGTTTAGATGCTTCGGGGTTCAGGGTTTGGGGGTTCAGGGTCCAGGGCTTAGGGGTTCGGAGTTCAGGGTTTAGGGTTTCGGGGTTCAGGGTTTTGGGTGAGATAATGATATGACCGGGAATGCTCCACTTGCCATTGGCGTCTGGATCTGTGGTTGGAGGGGCCAGCCATTTCCCTTCCTGATCCTTCCGTGGCTCAGTGCTTTATATTTGGTCATTATCATTTCAGTAAGCTTGTTTCACAAGATCGTGGATGTCTTCCCGCAAGCTTTGTAAACGGCAGGTTGGACAGGCTAAGCCCGCCTTGAGGTCGTCAGGCTTGCCTTTTACTTAGTACCTATAGTCTCCATTGTAGTTCCTTTTTCTGGTTAAAACTGGTTAACCAAAAAAGGAGCTACAGTGGAGACTGTAGGTATCCTAACCCTGAAACCAAGAACCCTAAACCCAAGAACCAGGAACACGCTGTACAGGTACTCCACTGAAGCTGGCCCAAACACCTAAACAGAACCGCTCAAAGTTCAAATTATGGTATATATACTATATGTTAGATTACTGAGGCTCTTGTTAGTCTTTGTACCAGAATATTATTGCTATTCTTATGCCTGCATGCCCCCACCCCCTCACCAACCAAACAAAGTACCGGTCACTTCGGGGCCTGACTTGAGAGCGCCAATGAGGTCGGGGCAGCCGGAAGTATGCGCCAACACTCGCAGGTCAAGCTGCCCTCAGCTTCAGCTGCGGGGGTTCATTTCCGGATTTAGGGTTGCACCTGTCATTTTCGTATTCGATCGTCTCAAACACATTTACGCTACGAGGCTCCCTTCTGCGACCGAAGAGTCCGTAATCTGCCACGATGAAGACTTTCCCACTTTCCGGGATGATGCTGTTGCGGATCTGCAGTGGCATGGGTTGGCTTCCGCAGACCCCAGACGCTGTAAAGGACTTCGGATGCTGTGCTTCTGTCGGGCACGATCACAACTTGTGTAGCAAGCTGGTTGCCAACATAATGATATACAATGCATGCCTCTCATGGTGTTCGTCTGCTAGTCCTAGCCAACTCGGCTGAACCGTAAACTACCCGTGACAGGAACTCCGCTGCCCTCCGTTCATGATGCCTGGTAGCGGTCCTTGTCCACCGCAGGAATCTGCTGCCTCGTGCTGTGCACTACGAGCTTGCCGCTTTCTAAGCGTTGGCTGCCGCACGATGCCCGTGCGGCGTAAGCGATAGTGTACATACCTTTTCCGCAGCATATCCATCATTCAAGTGGTCAGGCTTCATTGATTTCGCACGGAACACAGCTCCTTTCGTGGCTACAAGATCCGTGGCGACGCTCCCGACGCACACGTTCCCGCATTTTCGACTCCTTCAAAGAGGCGCATTTATGAGAGATGAGACCGCCATCAAAGACACCAGATGTCGGCCACATCTTCACTGGCATGCCAAAAGTGGATACACTTTCGAAGACCCTGCCCAGCAAATCGCCCTAGCTCAGGGACCCTTGCCAAGACGTGACCATCAATCAACGCACAAACCTCCACTCTGGAAGACTGTGTGGCCTATCATTGCTGCTGCAGATCTGACATGCAAGCCGAGGTCTTGTGTCGCACCTGCAGAGAGTCTCCAATGCACAACTTCTCCGATGAAATCTTAGCCCCATTGCACCCGTTACCATGTACCCTCAACACCCAAATCCCAACGGCACGTCCCTTAGCCTTAACCTCTTGCCGGGCGGCAGGTTCGGGTTCCGCGAGGTCAGGCGGCCGGTGCGACAAAACAAGCTCCTTGGAATCTGTCCCGATAGGTCCCGACAGTTCTGCCGTCGCTTCTGAAACTTCGAGGTGTGGGGTTTTAGATGTCGGGATTCAGATGGTTGCTTTTGGGGGTTGGGAGGGTGTTCAGCTGCGGGTTCACGGACGAGAGGGACAGAGCGAAAGACAGTCAAAAAGCGCCACAGGATTTACCGGAGATGCGAATCAAATCGGATGGCTGCGCTCCTGGTCCTGGAAGGCTACTACATCAAGGAGTAGTGATACAAACACTTACATACATACATACATACATACATACATACATACATACATATACCATTAGCAGAGGAAACCACTTCAAGATCTCAGGGCAAGAACCGGAAGCTGGACACCAATTATCCCTAAACTCTGAGCCCTCAGGATGACTCATCTGGCTCTGGCTCGATGAGTTGCTATCAGCTGAGGCCACCGACAGCGAGGTGTGCAAGCGGCCACGCTCGTCCACGATGTCGGGCTGCGCGCGACACTTTCGTGCTGCGGCATGCTGCAGGAAGACTGGGGATAGATGCATCGTTACGGTTAGCTAAAACTCCGAGTGTGAAATGAGTATAATCATCCATGGTGGGGCCCTTAACACCACAGCCAGATGCTCTTAGAAACCCAAGGCCGCCAGAACAGACAAGTTATGTCCGAAACCAACCTGGAAATCCATGCCTGATTAACCCGGTACCATAAACACTACACTCCACGACACCCTATATATCATATCATAGACCCGGAACCTAAACATATCCTAAACTCTAATTCATTGAATGCTGAGCCCCGAATCCGATACAAAACCCTTATCATCTGTTTCAACTGACTCCCAACCCTACGCTCCAAAGCCTTTTTCATGCTCTCTCCTACCATGGCAGCGCGCTGTCTTATTCCAGCAACACACCTTGTAAGTTCATAATATGTGTATGACACAATGTTTTAGTTTTACGGGATTGACAGACCCATCAGTTAGGCAATATGCATTGCAAAAGTCTTGGCTTTCAACAAAAGCTGCCACATACCTCAAATTGTAGGGAGCTCCTTGACCTGATTTAGTTGTACCAATATGCACTCTTCAGCGAAAGCGTCTTCACGTCTCTGCGAAGCGCTAGCGACCCCGAGTGGCCTGGGTGAGCTTCGACAGGAAGGTGCTCACTGCCTGCCGACAACTGGTACTTCAGCACATTTGATCCGCTAGTAATCGCAGATAAGGGCTTTGAGCGGGTTCCGTGAGGGTTGCCTATGAGGTTGCAGACGATTAAGGGTCCATGTTTGGGGGAGTCCATATAGGGAGGATCCTGCTATTACTTTTTCTGATGTTGTTTCCGGGACGGCTAAGTGACAGCAGCATTGACGACTTGTGAGCGATTCCGGTGTTCCGCCCAGACAACCTCTCAAACTCTGAATCATAGTATCAACCCTAAACCCAGAACTCACTTAGATAACCAAAACCCTGTGCCGTGCTGTGACCCCAAAGTTGTAGTGCGCAAACCATCATCCCAAATCATCAGAGTTGCGAGCAGCTAGCGCATGAAGGAGCCCGAAATCCCTTGGTGGCTCCTTGTTGACGAAAGCCATTTCCACGTGGTGGTTGAGACCGACACAGCCTGCGTGACCCTTTGCTACGGCAATCGAGGCTACGAATGAAGGCAGCCAAAAGGAACAATCGCGGCAATGTCTCTGGATGGCAAGAGCAAGACAAATATTTACGGGGTAATTATGGACGATAAAATTTCGCAACAGAACAGCAGCACAGCCCGACGTTTTCACCCAGGCGATCAAGGGACTGCCTCTCAAAGCCTCTTTGTGTATCTTTCCTCCTTGCCTATCTGGTCTCCCCTTTGAAGTCTCCCGTTTTCAGACCACCTTCATTCCTCTGGTCTCTCACAATCTGCCGACATGTCTTTTCCGATAGTTTACCAGTTTCGCTCATTGTTGCTATCGGATTTGAGCCCGCCGGTCTGGACATGTGCTAGGACTCAATAGGCAACGATAAGGAAGCCACTAGGCAATGCGCTGACTTCAGATCTTGATTTTATTGGTCAGATGTTGCTGCCACGGTATCGGCATCGGATGCAAGAAACTGATCTGCACATTTCTGCTCGCAAAGATTTTTGACGGAGCCCCGAAATGCACGCGATATTCGGTGAAGGGGACACTCCACAGCGCTGCAGTCAGCAGGCTTTGCAGTGCAGGACACCATCAGGGCTACTGCAAGGGCTGCGTATAATGGTTACAGCTATAAGGGTTTGGGACTTGCTGCGCCTTCCTGTCCAAGGATCTTTTCGGCTGTTCCACACCTCAGCAGTCTCCGGCGGGGGCGATAATGTGTGCAAATACAGGGGCCTGAATAAGTATTTTCACTGCTCCTGAATTCCCGAATATGTCTATACCAGAGCACACCCCAAAACCCTACTTATGCACATTTACCATACCATTCCGCGCAAAATCCTATGGTCCTATTATTCTATCAGCTCAAGCGTCTCAAATTAGTGTATGCAGCAGCAGAGCATGGCAGTGTCATCATAATCATCATCAGAATCATCATCCCTCGTCGTCATCGTCATCATCATCTTCTTCTGGTTCATGGACATTGAGACAGTGCTCAACTTCGCTTCCTGTCTTTCCGCCTTACCATAGCAACGGCACACGACCCCATGACCTCCGAGAAGGTTGTCAGATCTTGCACCCGCCAAGCGACACCTTTGAGCTGGCGAGCTACTACATTCGCTGCATCACCCGCTGGTCCTGCCCATCGACTTGATGGGCAAGAGCAGCACATCGAATGATCAAGGCCATTACATGTACCCATCAGGGCAGTCCGCTGGAAATCTGTCGCAACAGGTACGATAGTGTTGAACCTACCCCCCCCTCCTACAAGTCCCTGATAACCCCTTACAAAGCACAATGCAACCTATGTAAACCCCGAGACGACGCTCAAAAAACCCATCATTCCGGCACTTAAGACCCCAAACCCCTCAACCCTAGACCCTAAACTCTAAACCCTAAACCCTAAACTCTAAACCCTAAAACATCCGAGGGCCCCGACCTGCCCTCCTGTGGCGAGCTTGGGGGTTCTCTGCTCGCTTCCGGGCCAAAGCTTAGAGTTTGGGGTCTCTGTGGGCACATGCTTTATGATTGTACATATAACATATACTGTACATATATACAGTTATCTACATATATACATATATACATATGTACATACATACATACATACATACATACATACATAAATGCCTACATACATACATACATACATATACATACCTGCATACATATATTTCTGCATCTAGTCAGGTAGTCTTCCGCATGTTCTTGCATGGGGTCTCAGAGTGTTTCGTCTGAAGCGGGCGTCTGTGTCCGTCTGCACGCTTCGTCGAGAGGGCCGTGGAGGTCTGGAGGGTGCTTGCACGGTTTAAGGTTCTGGGCGTTTTGGGGTTTGCTAAGATGTCGAAGATTTTCACTTGTTTTTGGTATGGCTGCTATCTTTTGCCCCAGCAGCTATGCTGCACTCTCGTCTTTGCCGTGCATGCCGCCAGGAAGAAAAGTAGAATGGACGGCCCGACGCTCCAAATCTCTACATTAGACCCAAGGTCTGCAATGCAGCATCTCTCACTCAAAGACTATAATTACTATTCCTAATTTCTGCCTTTGAAGCAAGAATATTTCCGTGATGCATGGGGATTGCTTGGAGGGCCAGCTTTGCCTCTGGAGCTGGACCGGCCAGAATCGCGAAAGCCTGACGAAGGGGTCTTTTGACGTACGGATCCTCTCCATAACAGGAGCTCGGACGAAGCTTCTTGAAGAAGCTATTCGGGACTTACTCCCAATTAAACTGTTGCCACTTAACCGGTTGAAATCCGCCTACTCATTGATCTTATTGTGTTGTATCTGATACTCGATGAGGTGCCCTAAGCAAAGCACAAGCAGGGACCCAGCCACACGGTTTTCGACCACAAGCTGTCCAAGCCGAACCGATGCTTGTATGAAGTACTTCTCCACACCCAAGAACTCTGAACCCTTACCCGCACACTTTCCTGCCTCTTGGCCGGTGCTTTCCTGCCGGGGGTGCCGGTTCAGGATAGGGTTTGGGCCTGGTAAGGGTTTGAGGGCTCGTA